GATTTTTAAGACTCAATCCATAAAATAAATAATTAATAAGTTGAACTTCATTAAAATTTAAAATGTCTGCTCTGTGAAAGACACTGTTAACAGAATGAAAAGACAAGCTGTAAGCTGGGAGAAAATATTTGTAAAACACATTATCTGATAAAAGAATATGTCCAAAATATATAAAGAACTTTTAAAACTCAACAATAAGAAAACAAACCACCCAATTAAAAAATGGCAAAAGGTCTGAACACAACCCTCACCAAAGAATTTATACAGACACTAAATACGCATATGAAAAAATGCTCTAGAGTATATGTCATCAAAAAATGCAAATTAAAACAACTTATTCAGTATTATTCTACATACTTATAAGAATGGCTGAAATCCAAAACACGAACACCAAATGCTGGTGAGAATGTGGACCAATGGGAACTCTCATTTGTTGCTGGGGAGAATGCAAAACGGTATAGCCACTTTGAAAGACAATTTGGCAGTTTCCTACGAAGCTAAACATAGGCTTACCATACAACCCAGCAATCATGCTCCTAGGTATTTACCCAAATGAGTTCAAAGCTTATGAGACACAAAATCCTGCATAGTAATGTTTATAATAGCTTTATTCATAATTGCTAAAATATTGCAAGTAACCAGGATACCATTCAAAAGGTGAATGGATTAACTGTGGCACTCCATACAATGGAATATTATCCAGTCATAGGAAGATAAGAAGATAAAAGAAGAAACAACCTGAAATACATATTGCTAAGTAAAAGATGCCAGTTCCAAAAGGCTAGTACTGTATGATTCCAACTACATGACATTCTAGAAAAGGCAAAACTATATAGTCAGTAAAAGGATCAATGGTTACCAGGGATTTTGAGGGAAGAAGGAAGGAAGGGATGAATTAAGTGGAGCACAGGAGATTTTTAGGGCAGTGAAAATCTTCTGCACAAGACAGTAATGGTAAATAAGTGGCATGATACATTTTTCAAAAGCTATAAACTATACAACACAAAGAGTGAAACTTAATGTACACTATGGACCTTAACTGATAATAACCTATCAATATTAGTTTATCAATTATACCAAATGTACCACACTACTATAAGATGTTTATAATAGGGGAAACCGTAGAAGGAAAAGGTGGATAGGAGGCATATGGGAACTTTCTGTGCAATTTTTCAGTAAACTTAAAACTGCTATAACCGAATAAAATCTATTAATACAAAATAATCTATTAAAGATGGTTCCTATTACTTATTTAGAATCCATGGAATTGCCAGGAATATTCTAGTTCATAAGAATTGCAAGTTATCGGGCGCCTGGGTGGCTCAGATGGTTAAGCGTCTGCCTT